AATAAGAAAACAAACATACAGGCTGTAATTCTTCGAAAAATTCACTAACTAGTTTGAAGGCCCATTTTCAACCTTGATGCAACGCGGTCGTTTGTTTTTGTTTTGAACCACCGCTTTTGTTTAAATAGCGCCTCTGATTGGTCAGCTATTTTAACCTTGTCACGTCTCAAAATATCTTCTGCGTTTTCTTCGATGAATTTGAAGAGCTTATCAAAATAATTCTGTTTAAAACAGTTCTATACGTTTTAATCCGGCATGGAATCAGGTGAACCATTAATTTAGTAGATTCCGAGGCAGTAAACGCTTATGGATCGGTTGTTGCCAAAGAAGAACGCGAAAATCCTTGCGAGCATTTCGAAGAAGGTTGATCCAACACGTTTTCATTCATTCATCAATTTTTTTTAATTGTAGTGTGCCATCCTTGTTAAATAGGACCAAGGATCAGTTGAAGTTCCCTGTCCGTGGAGAGGAGCTTGCGCTCGAAAGAGTGGTCGAGGTTGTTGTCCATGCAAAGTAGCAAATAAGAATTGTAACGCAAACTGTCAGTGTCGCTGACGTTCCTGCAATGAAGTGACTAAACTTAAAATAATTAAACGTTCGGCAGTCCGATATTTTTCCATATTTCTCTTCGAAATCCAAAGAGTATTTATACGAAAATGTTCTAACTTTATTTACAATCCTCAAGTGCTTCCAGGCAGCCTAAAAATTTCGAACTTGATGTTTCTCGCTAACCCTGTATACAGAGTACGAAGCCATCCAATCGCTTGACACTTAAAAAACTTTTCAATGACACGGCTGGACACGGCCCTCAAATAACTCCATATTTCTCTTTGAAATATACCAATTTTTCGTTGGAAAATATTCTCCCTTCATTTACAAGCCTCAAGCGCTTCTAGAAAGTGAAAAAAATGCCAACGTTATCGCTGACCTTGTACACAGAGTGCGAAGAGATCCCAGCGTGACACTAAGAAAATTTTCACTGGACACTACCGGAAACGGTCTTCGAATAACTAAACGTCCGGCAGTCTGATATTTTTCCATATTTCTCTTTGAAAAATACCAATTTCTATTGGAAATGTTTTATCTTCATTTAGAATCCTCAAGCGCTTCTAGAAAGTGAACAAATTTGAACTTTGTCCTTTTCGCCGACTCTGTTCACAGAGTACGAAGAGATCCAAGCGTAACACTTAAAAAAAAATTTTTCTTCGGATTCTTCCTGACAAATTTCAAAATACTGTAAGGAAGCTATGAAATAATGAATTGCGAATGTATTTACCGTAAAATAGTTGACAATATGTTCAAGATGGCTCTTGAGAAGACGATTTTAGAAGGTTTTCAGTGATCTGGGGAATTTCGTGTTACAGGAAAGTAGGTCGCGGCGCGCGTTGCGTTAAGGTTGGAAATGGGCCTTTAAAATTGGACAATTTTCAATTAATAATGTTGATTTTGTTATCGTGGTCCACAGCGGGAAGGCTTTCTTTATCTTAGACATGGCGTGCAAAATTAAAAATTTCAACATTAAATTTGAAAATCACATTTCTGATTACTTATCTAGTAGTTTTTTTAAAACTCATTGGCAATCAGATGTGATCGATAATAGCCATGCATTCCTTATTATCCAACACGCATTAATTATTTTTAATTAAACCTTTAGCGGAAGGTCTCCTTTAGAAAAAAAAAACAAGCTAAAAAGGACATAAACATTCAGAAACAAGGGCTGGGATCTGCTAAAAAATAAAGTTTCCTTTGTTTTGTTTTCGCTGAGCGTTGACAAACTTCGACAACATGAAAGGAACCAAAACGGTCCTAACTCATGAAGGTTTATTTGAAGTTCAATGGATTCTAAGTTACAGCTGGACGTCACAATAAACTTGTACAACAGACTGAAACATCCTACCTATGAATGTCCCGCCATAGATTGTGAAGGTGTTTCGCTTCTCAGAGAGACCCAGAGCCATTTCGGCAAACTATGAGTTTAAGATCTAGAGGTTACACAACTAATAAGAAGTCAATTGGGTGGCTTTTTTTCGGGAGAAGGGAGGATGTACAAGAGAGAAGATATAATTATAGTACCTCATTAGACATTCCCATTTAGTATCCTGCGTTTTCTCCCTTTCCTCTACGACATCTAGTGACGTCACGAGATAACCAATGATGACGTCATAGTTTGGCCCATGTGGTAGTGGACGGGGCGTGATATACTCTCAGAGGAGAAAACTTTTACTACCGAAAAGTATGGGGCAATGCCTCCCCCCCCAAAAAAAGAAGTGTTTGTCTTCTGAAGGTGTACTACAGCTCCCTCCCCGTCTCCCTTTTTTGGTGCTTATGTATCACGAACGAAAATGTTGGAGAATCAAAGCTCCCGTTTTTGAAGAAAAGTGAAAACAATGATATCTTTGGGAAACAATTTAACTATTCTCCATTTCTGAAGGAAATTACTTTTAACAATCCTCTTACTTTCTAGACTTAACAGAAAATGTTTGAGTTGTTGAGTTATAATTATTATTTTTTAATTTAAAAAATAACTGTGTTTTAAAGAAAGCGACAAAACTTTTGAGTCTGTAAAACATGTACATAGCGTTGAAAGTTGAATTATATAGTAAGTAGAACAATGCTAATTAAGATGAATAGTGACAAAAAGAAAAGAGATAAAGCATGAAAGTGTGAGAATTAAAAAGGTAGTTTTAGATTTACATGTTATAAAATAATTCAAATAATACGCACGCACTGATTAGCCATAAAACCATTTTACATGAGCGTATGTAAACACGGTTTATTCATTAGTTATTTTATAAAAGAAATGTAAAATGGTTTCCGTGTTTACATAGCCTGATGTAAACATGCGGAAGGTTGGGAGGTCGCGTCGTGGTTTCGTACGCTTATCTCGTGTTCTCCCAACCTCCCGCGTGTTCACATCAGGCTATGTAAACACGGAAACCATTTTACATTTCTTCAGTGTAACTGCTGATTCAAAGATGGTTGTTCTCTTTGAATATGAATAGCCTCTTTTATCTCAAGCTGAAAGCTGGTGGAGGCGTGATCTAAAACATGGAAGTTATCTGTAGAACACAAAGCACGAAAATGTGGAGAATCTTTCAGATCGGTGAATGCTATCGTTAAAGAATCAAAATACTGCGTCCCACACCACCCTCCCTTTCAGAGAATAACTAATGACCAGGCCCTTAGAAGTTCCCTTTTTTAAAGGGTGCGGTTAATTCGTCGGTGAAGGTAAGGACTTCAATTGACCTTTACAAAGCCTTTTTGGTCATTGATACTTCCAAAGGTGGCCGCTGTTCATAAAGTGGCTTCCTTTAGGGGGAGTGGGAGGGGGATAGGAATGGGGAGGGATAGGGAGGGGAGGGGAGGGGGGGATAGGGAGGGTAGGGGGATAGGGAGGGGAGGGATAGGGAGGGGTAGGGGGATAGGGAGGGAGAGGGGAGGGATAGGGAGGGTAGGGGGATAGGGAGGGAGAGGGGAGGGATAGGGAGGGGTAGGGGGATAGGGAGGGGGGGGATAGGGAGGGGGAGGGGGTGGTGGAGTCACAAATTTCATAATGTAACAGCTTTGATAGAGCTAAGACGACAATAAGCATTCTTAGTTAAAACAATAAGAAGTATATTCACATTTAGTCACCTGAAAACGTCAAGTTCTGCCTTTACAGGTAATTATAAAGCAATCCAAACAAAAACCTACCATAGCTATATCTAATACAAATCATAAAAGCTTTTTAATACAAAGGAAATCAATGTTTTGGTTGGTACTTTTCAGAGGATTGGAAAGGAATTTTTTTTCCCTTATGTCTGTTACTGTAAAAGTATGAAGAAAACTTTGCATATTTGAAACTCATTCATTTAGAATTAATAAAAATATTATTTTATTGGAAGATGTAAAGAATTCAATTCACTCTTCAGTTTAATGATGATCTGTATGAAAAAACAAAGTTGAAAATTCACAATGTTAAGTGGTTATTGAATGTTCTGGAGCCTTGATTCAAGGCTGGTAGGCTTCACAAAATTGAAAAATTTCTTTCTGTCATTGTCTAGTTTTTTTGCCAACATTTTTGGCCAATTTACAATGGTAATAGGACTGAGTGGAGTCTAATTTGGTCTGTTGTTATCATACACGTGATTAACAAAATTAGACAACCACAAAGCCAGAGACCAATTTGTCAAACACGAGTATGATTACAGAAAGAATTGGATGACAAAGTCTTGTTACCAATCAATCATAATTGCTACACTTTCCGAAAACAACAAATATGTTTAGGTCAAACATCTCTCCATTTTGGAAATTCTTCAATTTTTTTTAGGATAAGTGGTTGTTGCTATGGTTATTGTGATTAACTCTGTGATTGATGGATTTGGCTGAGTGGACTTAGTATGATTGGCTGCTTCAACTGTCCAATTACAGGTGTGTGATTACAGCCAACTGTTCGATTACGCTCTTCATTAAAAGCTGTACAGAATGATAAGTGAAAAATAAAGCAGCTAATGCACCAATCACATTTGAAGAAATTGTAATGGTTATCATTAGTGCATTAGTACACAGTTTCAGGCATTCAGTTGGTAAAACAAAATTTATGGTAAACAGCGCTGTAGTAGCAAAGAAGTGAAAAAGTCTCTCTGGCTGTTTCACTTTTCTGCTCCAGTCTTTGCTCTGTTTTACTTACTGAATGCCAAGAACAAGCCAATACCTGAAACACACTTCTGTCGTTTTAAAAATTATCTTTGTATTATCTGTGTCAAATTAACATAATCTAGTTTCAGAAAGAAAGTTTTATTACTCGACGTTTCGGGGTCATCGTGACTCCATGACGATGAATTTGACGATCATTTGACATGTGTCTTACATGTTCACCAACAATAGGTTGGTCTGCCTGTAAAACAAACTGAGAAATGCAACCAGATAAGGGCAGCATGCATAACTTTCCAGCTAAACAGTAAGAAAGTCTAAGTAAAACAAAAGGCTTTTTTTATATCATTTTATTCACCTCTTTCTTTGCAGCTTCTGAAATTGAATTGTATACTTCCTCTACATCGTCTGTGCCTTCTTAAAGTTGAAAATAACAAAAAAAAAGTGCAAAACAATTTAGGATTCTTCAATTCTGGCATTCACCATCATTATTCAGAGGCTCAACTTGAACTTTGAGTCTTTTGCTAAGTGCAGCCTTACATGAATCATGTGAAAGAAAACACTCAATCACATGTACATAACAAAATTAGAGAGAGGTACCAAAGTAATGTGCATCACATGCAAAGCACATGTTTGTCAGAACCTCACCATTTCTTGGTTCTTGGGTTTGGCTTTTTCCAGTGCTTTTGTGGCATTTTCAAACTCAACCAGTTTACATGTACAACAGAAAAAGCATCTCCTACAGGGTAAGAAATGGACAAAACAAGTGCATTAGACAGTTCAAATTACCATTTAAGGACAGCAAGAGGAAATGGCTAATAAAAAAACAACTGAGTTTTCAAAGTTAGGGTACTGGAATTGCAATCTGAAAGTCCCACATTCCAGCTCATCTGTACTTAATAATTCCAAATTCAATTATATTGTGAAGCATTGTAAATTTAAAAAAAAAAAAAACCTCCCCAAGTTAGTTTATGTTTCCATTCCACCATTCCAGTCTTTGCTTACAAGTTTTCCCTTCCCTTTCACCTGGCAGTACGAAAATGAAATGCAAATTACTCTAAAGGGCACTTTTTCTTCAGATAACCATGCCCTTGTGCTACCTACTTGTAAATGACTTAAAAAAAAATTGAATGCGATAGAGATAGAGGGGGTAGAACCCAGTCTTCTCGTTCAAGCCATGACCTGCAAACCTTTTGGGAAACAGGATATAGATCGGTCAACAGTCTGACTGATGACTTTTTGTTGATGTTTGGTTATTTTTGGCTTTTCTTTTCTTTCTTTTTTAGATGCACAGCAATCCTGAGCTTGTCTCTCAGCTGTGATAATGCCTTCATCTCACCCCACCCCCCAAAAAAGTCACCTCCTTTCCCCTTCCCTATCCCTGCCCACAAGAGGAAAGCTGAAATTTTGAAACATCCTGATACATTACAATACTAAATTAATAATACTTCTAGTATCTCTTTGCTATCATATGAATTTTGCTATCTCACTTTTAACAACAATAAAGAAGATTTAATACATTGCAGTACAGAGACATTGCTACATACCTTTCTGACTGTGCACCATTTTGGTAAAGTTCTACAAAACACATATAGAAACAAAAAGATTAATTGAAGGAATCTATAGATTGATGGCTACACTCAGATCAGCCAAACACCACCAATTAATGTTGAAACATTCTTTATAAAAAGTTAAAAAGTATAATATATCATTCATTAATCTACCATGGATAAAATAATTGAAATTCACTTTCTTATGCAATGTAATGTGGCTTAATTAACACAACTTCCTGCTGATGTGGCATTTGGGAATTCAGTCTTTTTTTGGCATGGTGCAGAATACAGGTTTAGATTAAACTTGATGAGAGGTAAGTATTTTTGTCATCAACCCTTAAATTCCCATGACTGACAAAGATATAACTTCTCCTTTCAATAATAGTACAATATCAAGCAGACAAGTGATGAGAATAAAAAAAATTTATCAATTAGAGTATTATCGGCCGATCCAACACCAAATTCTCCAAACTAATATCACAAGAATTGCAAGACAGACAGCAAGGAGAATTACTAATGAGCAATGGGAGATGCAGCACTTTAATACATTTTTGGTGGGTTTATTATTACTATTACTGACCCCATATGTCTCCTTGGTAAGTGGTGTGTACTGTTCCACAAAATCTCTTTTCTTCTGAAATTCTTCCAAGATCCTAAGCAAGAGGAATAACTTCCGCTTATTTGTATTTCTGGGAAGGTTAAATTCAAAAGAAAGTTAGGTCATCAGTGAGCACAGTCTTGTTATTTGCACTTTGGCAAAAGTGTTTCTTCACCTGCAGGAAAGATTGAGTCCTAGATCTACACGAGCTGCTAAGAGGCCTGCAAGGAGTTTAACACTGATAAGGAAGGACCAAGTATTCAGCAGTTTTACCCCTAAGAGTGACTGACATCTAATTTCTCCTTACCATATCCCCCCTGAATCAAACATTAAGGTCAGGAGAATTAAGGAACTGATCACAGACTAAAGAAGCTCTTGATTGTAGACAAATTCTCTGTGTCGGCATCATAGAAAATGTTTCTAGAACAGTATGGAGAATATGCATACTGATGTTAGGGTGTGAAGGGTTAAAACACTGTCTCTCTGTATGCCATAATTCAAACTACAAATATTTATATTTTACAGCCCTGAATGAGACATACACTGTATGTTATTGAAAAACAATGATTCAGTGATATCACAATTTAACTAAATAAAGACTTCTTAGATAAAAAAAATCAAAACAAAACAAAAAAAACCCATGGAACATTTTGTACCTTGTGACTATGATGCCTGAAATCATCCACATCTTGTGATAGACTTGTTATAAGACCTTTTTTCACTTTGCTTCTAGCTGGCAGCTATGTGATAAAAAAAAAGTGTTCATACACTACACTGTAAGTGAGCATGAGAGATGCCATAGACAAACAGTTAGCCACTGGTCACTGAGTTGAAAAGCCAGGCTAATCAATTACTCAGAGCAAGGAGTTTAATAATGATTATTAAACTTAGTTTTGCCAAGTTGGAACAGACATGCTGTTACAAAAGCATTCCCCCAGTCATATACATACAATCTGCAAGAAAATTGTCAACAAATTATCATTGGAATGGCAATATTCTGGAATAGCATACCAATTATATTCCTTACTTTCAACTCTTCTTCTCATGTACAATGTTTCTTTAATTGTTTTAAACCATTCTACAACATTGACTGGTGGAAGAGCTTATTGCAGTGAATTACAGTTCACTTTTTCTACTCCATTTCTACATACTTCCTTGGAAGTAGCTCAGTGGATGTTGTGTCAACTGATTTTGTCTTAAAAAACATTTACTAAGGATGAAAATAGTAATTGTTGATTTTATGAAACATACACCTACTATGGAGTTTAAACCAAGTGTCGTTTTGCCATGGTACGCCATTTTACAAATTTTGGGGGAAAATCACCCACACTTACAGAGATCGTGGCCAAATACCTGTAAGACTCTCATTTCCTCCTTCAAAAACTTTTGCAAAGGCTGAGTGGCCGACAACAAGTTCAAGAAATCTAAAAGACATAAAAATTACAACTCTTGAGATGGCAGGGCGTGAAATTGCGCCTAATACAAGCGCCAATGCGACTAAATGTTTCACTATGACGACCAAATCCTGAAATTAGTCGCCAAATTGGAAAAACGCGGCAAACTTCCTCGTTAAGTTTGTTTCCAAAACGCGCGCAGCACATCTCGATCGATACCTAGACGCCATCTTGTATTTAGGTGAGCTTGAACGTTGTATATCATCCATCCTGGTGTCCACTTTATAGCACGCTAAAGATCTTATCCCTAACGTAATTTTGGAGGGTCTATCTACAACGCTGACAGCGTTAAAAAAACGTTTCGTTTGTCTTTGAAAATGGCGATCAACGTTTTTTGAATCGGCTACCACTTTGAAGAATTTAGGAGCCAAGTGCCTATCAGAGAAAAAAATTTCACGCCCGGGATGGGCTAATGCAATGTAAACATTTGAATCAATGGTCCAAAGAACTGAGTCAGTGGCCATTGCCAGAGCTAGTCCCAATATCAGTAAAATAACAATAGGAAGTATTTAACTAATCGCACTGAATGCCAGGCTTATTCATCGCTGATATGCGATGCGTGCCCCACCCCCTTCCCCTTGTGACAGTGGCGTCTGAAGGTTACCTCCACTACAAAACAACACACACACGAAGCATGAAACAAATATTCTTATTCTGGCTGAGTAAGGCATCAACAAACCTAAGATTTTGTCTTGTTTCTGAGTTCCAGGATGAGTTCGCTTGGATGACATGGCGTAATGACATGGTGGGCGTAAGCTAAAAGATACGCGACTGGGCATTACTGATAGTTTGTACGGAAAGGAATGTTTTTTGTTTTTATCAAAAATTCCTGAATTTTTTGTTTGCTGCTCGTAAAATGAAGAGAGGTATGAGATAAGTTGGTAAAGCAAATAAAAAAAGAAATGATTAAAAAATATTTCCCTCCCCCCCTCCCTGAAATGTTTGAAGTGACCTAATGGCGCTTAGAAATCATGACGCTACAGAGTTGAAAAAATATTTTTTTTCTTTTACTTCAGTGTATTTTTATATAAACTTTACAGTTCGGTACTTTCCAATGAAACCGCTATCTCGTATCTAAATTCCCTGACCGGCTGACACTCGTCACGTGCGCGGTGGCCATGGGTTTTTCTTCATCATATGAACTCTCGTTGGTCCAACCATGTTAATTTTAAACTTTCCTTGTAAATGCATACATTGTTCTGTTTCTATTATTTTTTTTCGTCCAATCAGCATTTTGTTATACACTCTAAATTCAACTTTGTACTTTGTATTATTCTGAACTGAAGATGACAGAAGAACTGTCGAGACATATTTTTTTAATTTTAAAAGTGTCGTTAACTTCTTAAGTTGGCTACATATCTGCTTCCATCCAGACCTTTTACTTAAAAATTTGAAGCTCTTGACAAAGTGAGTCAGTGGTATGCCATAAATAAAGAACCCATCTTTATTACCTTTGAAACTTTGAGCAGAAATTTTCTTAGATGCCACTTACAAAATAAACATCCTTAAGCGCTGAAAAACTCTCACATGCTTTAACGGATAAAAATGTTTCCGTGTGGGTTTGGCACGTTTTTCAACTGGTTTGCTCGATTTGTACCACAAGGATCATGAGTGGGCCAATGGCTACTTTTGCTCCCATCAAAGTAACAAAATTGACCTCCTCCACTAAAGGAGGGTCCATTCGCATGAAACTTCTAGGATTTTGGTACCGCTCCACCGCAATTCTTAACAACCTAGAAGAAGTGGTCAACCTGCAAACTGCAGACCAGTTTGCAGTGGATCGATCCCTTCTTCTGTTTCACTATGCTACCAGTGCCTTCCTTGCATGCGAACCAGTTGTTGATGTTGCTCTTGATTAGGGTTTCCTTACCAACGCTACCCCACAGAGCGAAGTCCATGGCCTCATAATGCGTCTCGCTCAGTGGAACTGTTTTGGACACTCGGACGTTGGAGCCGCCGGCTGACCAGGATGGACGCGGGACGACAGCGTTTGATGCAGCTGTGAAATGTGAGTAATCCCTTAAGGTATAGCTGTAAACTAATGTCCAACCCCCTCCGTCCGTTAGCTGGTCGCAGTAGGCCTGGAAAGCATTACTGCGGGAACCACCATCAGGGTCTATCCACTAGACGCCTGACACGACTGATGGTAATTTCTGTTTGAGCTCCTTGCAAGTTAGAGCTGCAAAGTCCTTTGAGAATCCTTTTGAGTCCAAAAAAAAAAGGTCACAATTAGTCAAAAAAAATCACTAAGCTACCCGTTGTGAAATATTTAGAAGAAGACTATGAAAAGGCAAATCAATAATATTAAATCTATTTGAAGGTACACTAAAGATATATGTTGTAATTCTTGCGTAAGAGACACCTACTTTAAAATCCAAATCGCGACAATATCACAATGTATGTATGAGAGTGAAATGCAAGGGTGTGAGGTGAAATAAATACGTGCTGATATTCTTGGCGAGATTCTCTTCTAATAAGTTTATACCGATGTCTTTAAAAATAAAAGAGAAATGTCATACCTATTTTGCTCTGTTCTGCCAAATTGTACGTCCCATTTCTCAATCGTTTGATGATTTCGTTCTTGCAGAGCAGCAACGTCTTGTGAAGATATAGATTGCCTTTTGCATCCACGTCCAACACTCTGAAGCGTCGCTGATCCACCCCCCTGCTCTCGGAGATTATAAACAAACAATGTGAAGTTTATATGAAATAATACATATTTGTACTGCGGTTGTAGATGAAAGTGAAATGTGATCATCGCAGTAAATTTTCCAATTTAAGCAATTGGAAAGAAGAAGCCTGAAAAAAATCAGGACTTCAACGGGATTCGAACCCGTGACCTCCGCGATACCGGTGCGATGCTCTACCAACTGAGCTATGAAGCCACACTGTGTGGCTTCATAGCTCAGTTGGTAGAGCATCGCACCGGTATCGCGGAGGTCACGGGTTCGAATCCCGTTGAAGTCCTGATTTTTTTCAGGCTTCTTCTTTCCAATTGCTTAAATTGGAAAATTTACTGCGATGATCACATTTCACTTTCATAAACAAACAATCTTGTTAATTTTAAAAGTGTCGTTAATTTTCTTAGGTTCGCTACATATCTGCTTCTATCCAGACCTTTTACCAAGAAATTCGAAGCTCTTGGCAAAGTCAGTCACTGATGTCCCATAAATCAAGAACCCATCGGTTCTAAATATTTTTCGGTTCTAAAGATTTCTTGAGTAGGACTATGTATGGGCAGCCAAAAATCTAAGGTAAACTTAAATTCATTCAGTGGTGTAAAAGTTAAAATTACCCTGAGGTCGAAAAGGAAACGAAATAAAAGATCATCAAATGAAACAACATCATTCCAGTGTAAAGATCTTGAATTGATCGATGGCTTAAATAGAATTTTCTTTCGATGCTTTTGTCGAGATCCAAGTTGCAATACTACCGGCCGATAAATATGCTTTTAAATCTTTAGAGTCTTCAAAGAAACAGGATAAAACTCGTGGTAATTTATTTTTAATCTCAATCATCCATGTCATCTAATTAACAAAGCTTTTGTGACAGTATTGATGTTTTGACAGCTGATGACACCATTTGCCCTGAAGAGTTTACAAGGAAAACGCACGATTTTGCACTCAGGATGACTATCAATGAAAATAACCCAAATTTTTTTACAATTTACTCAGACGAGATAGTTGGTGAGGCAAGCAATAAACTAGTTCATACTTTAAGATAATCTTTTGCAGCCTTCTTTTATAATTTTAGATGTAATCAAGCCAAGTGCATTAGATATTTTAATCAATATATGTTATTTGCCGGCTGGGAGGTCCGTATGGTGAAAAACTGTGACCGAGGTCTTGAAAATACTGCCCGAGGCCGTAGACCGAGGGCAGCATTTTCAAGATCGAGGTCACAGTTTTTCACCATACGGACCGACCCTTAGCCGGTAAATAACATATTTATTGTTTTTAAACTTGACGAAATTCTTTCCGAAAGAACCCGAATGATTTATGGCCATAAATACGGCAAGATCTTCCATAAACTGAACAATTTTTGAGTGGATAAATGGTAGTTAAAATAGAGGTGAGGCAAATTTAAGAGAGATGCCTCAGCGAAACATTTTCATTTCCGTAACGATAAAGGTGATTTAAAAGGCTTCCAAACAAACTTTGAAACATTATTTTTACAAGTATCTGTCACAATCTGACACCTGTCAATTAGAGAGCGCGCAAGAAAAAGAAAATCGAAGGAACATTTGAAAATCAACAGAACTAGTTTGGCAAGGACTGTCACGACAATGTTTTCTTCAAAATCAGTTAATGATCTAACGGAAAGTATTATTCACTCTCATCGACGATTCATTCATGTACGAAGATTTACCTCTGTTCATTAAGTAAACGGCGAGGAAATTAATTGTGAGTAAATTCAATCTTTTTATTTTGAAGTTGTGAGAGTTTGCTCGTTTGTTTGCTGTAATGGCGTGTTTAACTCTGATCTTTCCTTCACAAAAGCTAAATTCGAACGGCACACTCCAACGAGACACAAGGGAATGTAATGCGGCCTTTTCTCAAAAAATTCCTTTAATTTCTGTTGTGCAATTTAAGGTACAATTGTACAAATTGAACGGAATTGGAAAGACTCACCAGGAGCGTATATTTGTTGTAGAACTTAAATTAAAACTTCGCTCGCTCTTTCACTATGAACAAATTGCTCGAGAAAATTCAGATATTAAATAAATGAAAGTTCCATCGTTCAGTTTAACTGTAACCAAATACCTCACGTTCCAACTTTCTGGGTACTTTTTGTGAACGATTAAAATTAATTGCAGAAGGTTTTTAGGCCGCTTGTCAACCAACGTAATGACACTATTGTTTATACAAATTCATTCTGAAACCAATATTTTTCTGTCAACCAAAGTGATTTGATAGAGAGAAAAGAGAGGATTCATAAGTTATTTATCGGCTTGAGGTAGTGACCGACGTGTTTGCTTAAAAATACTGCCCAGCCGGAAAACGAGGTATATTTATGAAAAATGACAACGAAAGTTGGGATGTACTCGGCGACTCACGAAAGCGTTACCGTGGCCCGTGGGCAGAGATAGGAAAATACTGACCGGGTAAAGAACCAATCAGATTGCAAGATTCGTTACCGTGCCCTCTAAAAAAACAATAAAACATAATATTATACCCATTAAAACGTATTTACATTCCACTGACCGATTCTTGTTAATCAAAGAAAAGTTGTGAGTTCCTACATCGATACAAAAAGAAGGGGCATTTGTAAATAACGTTATTATCCGGTTGAAAGAAAATCTCAAAAGCACATAAAGTTTTAAATGAAAACACCTCTTTGCAGCGTTAATTTTTTATATATTTTACACTGTCATTTATGAGTTAGTTCGTGCATGAAATGAACATGTTCGCGAATTCAGTCGTCGTATGTAAATTTACGACCAAGTCAACTTAATTTTGCGTTTTGATGTACTGAAAAATTAAAGTGTATGTGAAATTATTTCGAAAAAACAGTCGACAGAAAGTAATCATGAAAATAAAACATCAAAAGATGTCGTGCCATTACCAAGTTGCGTCCACCCTAAGAGAATGTGAGTAGCGTGGATGATCAATCGTGATCGAAAAAGTTATGGTTTTAAGTTTTGATTTCGTTCTTGGAGTGGAAAAAAAGGAATTGTCGGTGAGGCCGCTAAAAAGGATACGCGACTACAAGCTATTGATGATGGTTTGTAAGGAAAGAAACGCTGTTAATTTAAAAGTTTTAAACGTATAACGTCAGTCACATTTAAATCATTCGAATTAGCTAATGAGCGCATGCCTGAAATTGAGCACTAATAAGGGATGAGGTAACCCGCCTAACCTTGGTCGAAAAATAAAACGTGTTTACATACAATCTTACAACCCCGGGGTGCTGGGGTAAGATTTCTTTAGGTTTTTGTTACGTTTTCAATTAGGGAGGTTGAGCAAAAAAAGAGAAAGACGAAAGATTAATTTTCGGACACGTATGTATTTATTCATGAAAGCGCTACGCTTTGTGTTACGCGGTGTTATGTTACGCGAGGAACCATCGACTTAATATGTTATAAGAAATAGTTTGAAATATGGTCGATTTACAACGCTAAATATTCCGAAATGTGAACACTTTACACTCCTTGAGTGTCCGTTGCGGTTTCTGGTGATTTCTGCCATGAGACGGTTAGGAAATGTACAAAGTTTTTAAAACATACGTGTTTCACTTTTGAGCTTTTTGCCATGAACGCGACCTCGGCTAGGGGGGTTACCCCACCTTGAAACGTTTACATGGCAAATTGTCACCCCGGCTGACAGGGTTACCTTACCTGGCAGACCGGGCAACCCGCCTAGGCGGGTCCACTCACCTATCATGTGGGTTGAAATAAAATAAGAAATTATATGGACATGCGGCCGGGTTACCTCACCTACCTGGGGTCCCCCACCTCCATGTAAACAAGCCCTAAAAATGAAAGTCCGTAATTGCGCGCGCCACGGCGTAACAGCCAACTTAGTTCTTTCAAAGTTTTTTTTTTTTTTATGAATTCCATAAATGCGTAAATATTGCAACAGTTACAATGATAAATTGTTCAAAAATTCAATTTAGTTTATTTGGATCTTTGAGAGATGATTCGAAAAGTGAAAAGACTTTCATGTGGCACTTGCTTATAATGGTCGAAAAACAAGAGAAAAAAACAAACCCATCAGAATATTGAATAACACTGTTCGTTTTTTCTGATCCAACACTAGGCCGGCGGTGAGGAAACTTGTTTTAACTTTGCAATATTCTCGGTGCAGCCTCAGTAAATAATACAGTTGTAATATTGAATCAGTTATAATCAAGCCAGGATACATGATTTATCAGATCACGAGACAAAACTCGTAGCATTGTATTATATAACCATCTCTTCAATATTTGCGCAACCTCGACGAATTAAAACAAGCCGTGTAAGCAAACATTTTTAACTTGTTTGTTTAGAAGAGGGTCTCTGTGGGGTGATGGGTGACTTTAGACATTAAAAAGTCCGGTTGATATCTTCTAATAAGATGTTCGAAAGCATAGAAATACAAAAAAATCTTGCGTTTGTTAATTTCCTTCGCCGCAGTGACTTCAAATTTTTAGTGATTTTGCTACCGTGACAGATGAATTATGCAAATTAGTCTGTTGAGCAAACTCTGACTGTTCTATATCAATGGCTCCCTGTAGTTTGGTCCTGAAATGTTCATACAGGTTTAAATAGCTCAAGCTCTCTAAACTGAAATAGGAAAGAACATAAACCATTGTCTTTAAAAAAGAGTTGCTCGTTGAAACGCTGACCGATCGCTAATCAGTACGATAGTCGATACGTTTTGTTCGTCTCTTGTTTCACATATCACAAGAGGCAAGTGATCAGTTAAAACTTGAAGTATTGACGAGCCTGCATGACATTCCTGCCATCCGCAAGCGATTTTAAACTTCTGTCTTCATAGATTAGTTTTAACCAGGATATATTTTGATGATTTTTTTCCGATTTAATTTGAGTAAGGTGCCATTTCCCCATCAGTATGTTCTTAAGTTTAGGTAAAGCCGGGTGATATTGAATAACGAAAGGCAATATTTTCTTCTGCGTGATGTTTCCTTTGTTTTTTAAGTGATCCTTCTCTACTGGAGCAGACAACTCCAGATGTGTATTTCTCCAGAACTTCGTCAGGTTTCCTCGATCCCCTTCTTTAGTCGTGTTTTTAAACTCTGTATGTTTTTTATTTATTAAGTGTGGAGCGCGTCAGATTTGTTTTTAGGATGGGTAACGCTTCTCCTTATTCGAAACCTTTCTTTACGCCTTGTAAAATATGTTTACGGGCCGGCACGATTCTGCCAGGCGTTGAGTAATATTAACAAATTTCTCCACAGTTGCCCGTATGTCAACAAAAAAAGAGAAGTGGTTGAGAAGTATCTTTTAAGATGCTGCATCAAATTTATTCCTCAAATATTGAAGATTTTGTTAACTAAACCTTACAAAAGGCTTTGAAAAAAAAATTTAACCAGATTCCAGTGGTTCGTTTTATACCTAAACTACTGTTTTAACTTTACTGATTTCGCTTAACTTTAAAGCCTTACTTACGTCAATAATTTTCTGTGCTTATTATATTGGAAATATAATTTTTGCGTTGTTCAGTTGAAGGTTTCTTTATTCTTCTCTTTCTTACATACAACTTATTACCTCGGGACTAACTCAGATCTAACAAGAAAAGTGTGGGTCTCCGCTTATAAAAGGGACGCTTACTGAGCTGCCAATCTCTAACCTTCGTCATCCTTTTACACTTAACTAGCGAATCACGTTAAGCTACGCAGAGCGGAGTCCGCATACTAAATAGATACCTTCGAGATGTTTACGCTTTACAAAATCAATTTCTTCCTTAAATTTCTTAGTCTTACAGTCAAGGTTGGTCATAACTAAAACAAGATTGATAATATAAAAATTGTAATGAAATTACCAACAGAATTAGAATCATACTTGAAAATATATCTTAAGAGGAAATACTCCTCGAAGACTGTTACACAACAGCACAATAAACAAAAAATTCGGACAAGAAAGGGCGTACCCGAGGTAATGCCCCTAAAAGAGCTACGTGCTATTCGTATAAATTACCTGATGAAAATTCAGTGCGGAGGATGAAAAGTACCACTTGTTTACACCTTAAGTCACCTCTAAGAAAAAGAGGTGTCGAGCGTGCTAAATTATACCTGTAAGATAAGACCGCCAACAGGAATAAGAAATGATCAACTGGCTTATTATAATTTTTACTGAATGGCTTATGCTAATGTACTATTTCCATTCATTTCCAACTTTTAAATAAGTAAAAAAAAAACACTGGATAGATACAAATTTTGTCTTTTAACAATATTGAAAAAGAAAGCACAAAAAAATTGAACTAGATCTTATTTGGAATAGCGCCTTTTTTAATTTCAATGAAATACCGGCTAAAGTATTTTCTCTACTTTGCTCTATGCAATTTATCCATCTAAAAGTCTTTTAGCTCTGTTTCCTTCGAGTGACTCTCATTATTTACTCTGTCGAGGTCTCTTTCTCTGTAAAAAAAAGTGAAAAAAAACAGCACTTTATTATTAACTCGATTAACATTTTGGATATAAAGTAAGCACAATTATACCAAGCTCAATATCTGAAAATATAAATGGCTAACACTTGTATGTGATTGGCAGCGAGGCCCTTTCGAGATTCTATATTTACATCAGAGAGCGTAACTCTCCGAAAAGAAAAGAAAAAAAAATATATAAATATATGGATATATATGGATATATATCGAACAACCCTTGATGGTAACAAAGGATCCCCGCCGACAGTCAGCGACCAGTAAACCACAGCTACCTTCACATCTACTTCGACTTTAATTTGTGAAATATCTTTTCGGACTGAGTCTTACCTCTGCTTGTCAAACCCGAGTCTCACATCATCTCCAATCAGCGTAAACGAAGCCCACTCAGACACTCTGGTAGACTTGCTTTTTCTCATCCACTTCATGGCCTGATGAAGGGATTCACTGGCACTTTCTCCTTCTACAAGGTGTTCGTAGAACCGACTCATCAGCTGCTCTGTTGCTGAGTCTGAAATGGCCCACAGCGCAACCAACACCGAGCGAGCACCGGATCCTAAGAACGCACGGGCAATTCCTATAACTCCCTCGGCTCTAATCTGACCTCTTCCACTGTGACAGCAGCTAAGTACCACCAGTTTAGCTCTGACTTTCACTCGTGATACATCAGCCATCGTCAACATGTAATCTTCATGTCGTAAGATAGCGTTTCGCCTGTTGGAGGTACTAGGGATGGGGGAGAGGGCAATTTCTCCCCTTTCAGCGTCACCATGGGCAGCAAAATGAATCAGGCTCACTGAACTTATCCGCTCAAGCACCGCCTGCTTCGTTGCTTCTTCTCCTACCAGAGGCGGAACACCCACCAGTCGTCCGACCATCTCCGCTTCCTTTCTTGCCCCTGGCAATGGCGGCAGCCAAACAACCTTAGGGTTGCCTATTATCAAGGCACCAGTGTTGCTGTGATAGTCCTCTGGGCTATCTTCAATAATCTTGAGTGTTGTCAAAGAAGGAATGACACGGATTCTATGAGTTTCCGAGAGGTATTGGGCTCCCTCCTTTTCACTCAGTGCAGCAAAGGGAACTTTGTACAAACTGCGGTCAGGAACGATAATGACTTCAGGCTCCTCAAGCAAATCATAAACGGGAGCAATAAACATTTTGTAACACAAAAATAGACCTGAAATCACTTTCTCGTCCTCATCCTCGTCCTCGTCGTCCTCCACGAGTAGCAATCTTGCTGAGCTCTTCTGTGCGGGGGAGACAGGTTGCAATTTAACCATATTTAAAGACCGATCTTCACAATCTTTAGTGGGCAAAATACCAAGACTCCGGAAATTACCATCCAAAAATTGACTCGAACGCAAATCTTTGGGCAACCCAGCCTGAACTAGATTCTCTTCTACCGATATTCTTCTATAGTGAAGGACTCCACTTTTCTTTAAGATCCACAAACGCAGATCACCGTGAAAATAAGAAATGTACAGACAAGTACAGTTATTTTTCTTTCTAAAAATGTTCTCAACGCCAAACCAAGATTGCGGATTAGCAGAGATGTGCGTTTCAACCGAGTACTTCTCTACCATTAAGTCTGATAGGCCTCTAGCTCGACCCAATTCCTCAACATAAAGAGCATCCCGAGCATTTCCGGTGTCACAAAGCAAACTACAAAGCAGCTTGTAGGGAAATATTCCTGAGTTCTCCAGAAATGATGTTTTCAACTGATCATTGGCGCCTAAGAAATATCTCAGCTCCTCATATTTTTCAATGCAGAGATACAGACACGAACGGGATTCTTTTTTTTTATCTTGCGACAAATACAAAATGGCGTAACTTTGAAGGATTTCGAACTCTTTTCTTCTATCTCCAATATCTCTGGATATCGATAAAGCTTTCTCTAAGCATACTTCTGAGCCTTCATAATCTCCCATAGCTCTACACACACATCCAAAGTTTGCAAGATCTGCTACTTTCCCTTCTTTATCACCAATTTCAGTTCTGATGACGAGTGCTTTTTGGAGATACTCTTTAGCCTTGTCGTATTGCCCGAGCGACTGGAACAAATAACCAAGGTTTCCGTAGCCACTTGCCTCTCCTCCTCTGTCACCAATTTCAGTTGTGATGACAAGCGCCTTTTGGAGATACTCTTGAGCCTTATCGTATTGCCCGAGCGACAGAAACACAGTACCTAGGTTTTCATAACATGATGCTTCCCCATTTATGTCGCCAATTTCAGTTTTGATGACAAGCGCTCTTTGGAGATACTCTGCAGCCTTGTCATAGTGCCCAAGCGACTGGAACAAATTACCAAGGTTTCCGTAGCCAGTTGCCTCTCCTCCTCTGTCACCAATTTCAGTTGTGATGACAAGCGCCTTTTGGAGATACTCTTGAGCCTTACCGTATTGCCCGAGCGACAGAAACACAGTACCTAGGTTTCCATAACATGATGCTTCCCCATTTATGTCGCCAGTTTCAGTTTTGATGACAAGCGCTCTTTGGAGATACTCTTCAGCTTTGTCATATTGCCCGAGCGACTGAAATAAATTACCAAGATTTCCGTAGTCGGTTGCCTCTCCTTCTCTGTCACCAATTTCAGTTCTGATGAGAAGCGCTCTTTGGAGATACTCTTCAGCTTTGTCGTATTGCCCGAGCGACTGAAACAAATTACCAAGACTTCCGTAGTCAGTTGCCTCTCCTCCTCTGTCACCAATTTCAGTACTGATGACAAGCGCTCTTTGAAGATACTCTTCAGCTTTGTCGTATTGCCCGAGCGACTGAAACAAATTACCAAGATTTCCGTAGTCATTTGCCTCTCCTGCTCTGTCACCAATTCCAGTTCTGATGACAAGCGCCTTTTGGAAATACTCTTGAGCCTTATTGTATTGCCCGAGCGACTGAAACACAGTACCAAGGTTTCCGTAGTCAGTTGCCTCTCCTTTTCTGTCGCCAATTTCAGTACTGATGACAAGCGCCTTTTGGAGATACTCTTGAGCCTTGTCGTATTGCCCGAGGGACTTAAACACAGTACCTAGGTTTCCGTAACATGATGCTTCCCCATTTCTGTCGCCAATTTCAGTTTCGATGACAAGCGCTCTTTGGAGATACTCTTCAGCTTTGTCGTATTGCCAGAGCGACTGAAACAATTTACCAAGATTTCCGTAGTCAGTTGCCTCTCCTTCTCTGTCACCAATTTCAGTTCTGATGACAAGCGCCTTTTGGAGATACTCTTGAGCCTTGTCGTATTGCCTAAGCGACTTAAACACAGTACCAAGGTTACCGTAGTCCGTTGCCTCTCCTTTTCTGTCGCCAATTTCAGTTCTGATGACAAGCGCCTTTTGGAGATACTCTTGAGCCTTGTCGTATTGCCCGAGCGACTGAAACACCGTACCAAGGTTTCCGTAGTCATTTCCCTCTCCTTTTCTATTGCCAATTTCAGTACTGATGACAAGCGCCTTTTGGAGATACTCTCTAGCCTTGTCGTATTGCCCGAGCGACAGAAACACAGTACCTAGGTTTCGATACCATGATCCTTCCTTAGTTCTGTCGCCAATTTCAGTACTGATGACAAGCGCCTTTTGGAGATACTCTTGAGCCTTGTCGTATTGCCCGAGCGACTTAAACACACTACCAAGGTTACCGTAGTTCGTTGCCTCTCCTTCTCTGTCACCAATTTCAGTTCTGATGACAAGCGCCTTTTGGAGATACTCTTGAGCTTTGTCGTATTGCCCGAGCGACAAAAACAGAGTACCAAGGTTACCGTAGTCCGTTGCCTCTCCTTTTCTGTCGCCAATTTCAGTTCTGATGACAAGCGCCTTTTGGAGATACTCTCTAGCCTTGGCGTATTGTCCGAGCGACAAAAACACAGTACCTAGGTTTCCATAACATGATGCTTCTCCTCTTCTGTTGCCAATTTCGGTAGCTATAGCAAGGGCCCTCTTAAAATATTCCTTCGCCTTTAGGTTTTCGTCAAGTTTTTGAAGCATAATTCCAGACTTTATGTATAAGGCAAGCAGCATCTTGCTGAAAAGAACTATAAAGATGTCTTTGCTGTTTTGATCGGTGCTATTTAGCAAAATCAAACATTCCCTGCATATCTCAATGGCTTTCTGAATGCGATTTGAGTTGAGCAAGAACACGGAAACAAGTAAGGCGATGGTCATGAAAGCTATCATGGCTTCTGCTATTAGGTTTCCATTGCCATCCTCTCCTATAACCAGGGAAACATTTTTTTTTAGTAACGCAATACAAAGTGATTCGATAATCTGGATTCATAATGAGTCAGTGCAAACCGGAACACACCTGCTAAGTTACAAAAGCAAGCTTGGTAGATTTCACCATGAAACTTTTTGTAACGAGCTGAAAGTGTTAGAACTCACTATATCGGCTTTAAAAAAAAATTGAAGAAGGGTGTGGATAAGTACAACTGGAACACATCAACGGATCACATTCGGTGAAACTTTTAAAATTTTATTTGACCTGCACAGATTCTTTGAAGCAGAATGTGTGACTGTCACGCTATGAAAGTCATCTGCTATCCAAATGATTTTTGGTCCAGCTGTTTCGTTTATTCTTCTTATCAAATAAAAGAAAAAATGACGCATGCTTGAGTTTGATTAACGATCGTAAGTCGTGGGGTCGCGCCATCAATTAGGTGGTTTTGAAAGGTTGCAGGTTTCTTAAAAAAACAAGAAGGATTGATAAACCTTTTACTACAACGTTCTGGGAACATTTGAAAATGTTGTTCTAGCAGTTTATCACCGGTTAACGAGCTTATCGGAGTATCTGAGGTATATGGCTGAAAACGAATCTATTCGTAACTGATAAGGATGATTGCCAGGATTTGAGGTAACAGTGGTTTGACAAACTCGGTTTGTCACCCTTCATTTTACTTAAGTTGTGATTTTTGCACAACATGACATGACTTTACAGTCACAGGACAAAGATAAACAAAACAGCCTTTATCTTAACTTTTGCTGTGAGAACTTTCCCCTTGCATAGTTTTTATAAACAACATTAATCAACGGGGTAAGTTTCTAAAAAAACTTTGGTGGGATATACAATATAATTTGGCTTTACCAACTGAGTTGACAATATAAATTGGCCATTGTGATGAGTTTCTGAAGCTGACGTTTCGAACGTTAGCCCTTCTACAGAGCATTTGATAATCTTGAGGAATCAATGATGTTGTACTACCAGTATTCTGCAAAGAAACTAGCAAAGAATTTCTCCAAAAGTACACCGATTCTGGAACCGAAACTACCCACCTAGCTGGTTATCCTCACACCGGTCATTTGTCATGAACATATACGTTGTCACGACCAAAATGTCCATTTCTCGTCCTCTTTGGGGCGACCGATAGAAACTTCATGGAGAAATACAGCGTCACACCATCGTGATAAGGTGTTTATGACAACTGACCGGTGTGGGGATAGTTTCGTGTAGATCAACCGACTTCAACATGTTTCAAATAACATACAAGTATAACAGTGTATCTTCAGAGAATTTCGGATTGCTCAAATTCCCATGAAAGAAGGTGCAGCACTCGGAATCTGGATGATATGTACACGATTTGAGGTTTATGTTTGTAGTTACGTCGAGTTGTCCTCCACGAAGGTTGATCAATTTTTTTAAAAGATGACAAACAGACGCGAGATTTCTCTTCGGGATATTGCTCAGAAGATAACGTTCTTTCAAAGCCTCGCACGTTTCATTTGTCTGAAATGTTTGTTGTTGAGAACATTAGGTGTAAACATCGCCAAATTATGCAATATCTGAATTTTGAGCTTTTTTTGCGAATTGCCCCTGCAAAAAGTAGAGGCAAGCCCGTGGAGATTTCTACATATTTAAAAACAAGAATATTATAACCAGCTAGGTGGGTAGTTTCGGTTCCAGAATCGGTGTACTTTTGCAGAAATTCAGATGAACGTTTTCCCTGTTTTACCCAACAACAAAAATGACCGAAACTGTACCGAGATGAATAATCTATTGGTGTGTTCACATTCACTCCCAGGGAAAATTGAATGAATCAATGTGAAGACGAATGATGTTACTATTTATGGTATAACTGCCAATTTGTAATGTTTTATTTAGCTTGAGATAGAGAAATAAACATTTCACTCTTTTGTTGCGACGTTTTTGTATGAATATGAGGCCCCAGGCCTCGAACAAGCAGTCGTTGTTACCATGGCAACAAGAGTGTTGCGGCCTTTAAAAAGGGCATTTTTGTGTATCCCCCCTGAGTGCCTACCTGCATGTAAAATTTGAAGGGGGTTGAAATTCTTACAGACTTGATCTTAAGCGTTTCAATTCTTGAGCTAACAGGAGACAACATTTAACCACAACTGTCTGGAAGAATTCCTGACATTCCGCTATATGGCATGGAGCGCTTGAAAATATTGTTGTAGCAAGCTATTACCAAGTAACGAGCTTACTTATCAGATGAATGTCACTGAAAACGAATCTATCCTTAGCTGATGAGAATGATGAACAAGCTGTGGGGCCACAGAGGTTTGACGAACTCCGGCTTTGTGACGAATTTATTTCATCCGGTGGCGATTTTTGCACAACATAACATGACTTGATAGTCACAGGACAGGACAGGACTTAAAAAAATAATGTATGCATTTGCGATAGAGAAGTTACTTATTCCATATGTGACCGTAAAGTTAAAGCTAAAGTTTAGATAAAATTACTCTAAAAAAAACAGTACACTGATAAAATTATTGACCGATAAAATTATTTACCTCGCAGCTGACACTTTTGAAAGTGTAACGACAAAAATAATGAAAATCAGATGACAATTTTTTCCCACATTCCTAAACTTCCCTCAGTAATGAGGCCAACCTATACCATGATTTTTAAGTGTTTTGTTTCAAGGAAGAGATCAACAACTTTCAATACACCTTGACTTGACACGAAACGATTCTACACGTTTTTGATCTTTTAGAATATCAAGTATCACTGATGAATAAAGTTGATTTTTCTTGTCAGTAAAGAGTTTATCGAGTTTATATGAGAAAAAAAATAATACATGGTTGGATATGAAATTTCTCTTCTCGCGTTCATCTCGACATCTCACTCATTCGCTGCGCTCACTCGTGAGCTACGTAGTTAAACACCCGAAGAGAAATTCCATATCCACGCGCGCCCATGCATTATTCTCTATGTAATCCTCTTTTTCCCGCTTTTATGCAGGCATACACCATGAGTTTGTTAAATAGCACCAGAAAAATCTCTAGATTTTTAACCAAAGTTGTTTGGGTTTATTGTATAGCCTAACAAAGTAATCGAACCAAATTGATGTTTGAGGTTCGAAGCTCACATCCATCGTAAAAGTAAGCGTCCTGATCAATAACACTATGACAAGATTATAGTAAATCAGTCAAGTGACGTTCTGTTCCTCACCGGAAATACATTATCTTTCTTCGTGAGCTCTCGGCGTTATAGGCTGACTTATCTTCTTACGGAAGACTTTAGTGCTTTAACAAAAAGTGAACGAGGTCAAGTTTATTACTAATGCAAATTACGGCCACTGGAAAACTACGAACTCTTATTTCGCGATTATCCTATGACATCATCAATGAAATAAATATATTTGCTTAATTACGTAATTGGGAAAACAATCAGTTTCTGCAATTACGATTATTCACAACGTTATATGCAAACATAAAAATCGGAAAAGCATTCATAAGGCTTCCCTATCAGAGCTTACTTCTCCAGAGTGACTTAATACTTTTAGATAACAAAACCCGAGTACCTAAGTTTACCAAACATTCCGAAACTTACGCTTTCACAGTTTTTTAGGGTATCCCGATGTTTTGGGTATCCAGATCACTTCTGTTTTGGATATTCCCTCTTTGCTATTACTTTGAAAGTGAAACGGCAAAAATAATAGGGGATATGGAAAAGTAAAAGATCTAATTGGCAGAACAATAGCTCAGCACGCGCGTTTTAAAATTTTTTACATTTCTTAACCGTCCTATGCAAAACAATTCACCACGATTTGCGTCGTCTGCGAACCGAAACCGCGACGGCAAATTATTTTAATTTGCATTGGAACTCAACGCTTCTTTTATACGTTATGCTGAAGTTGAGGTGTGGTGCCGTATGAGACGGCAAACAAATGCAGCCATTTTTAAAATTCTAATTAAACGCAGAAATTCATTGATCGGACACCTGTAATCGGGCAGTTGCAATTGAAGAAGTATCATATCATATCAGAATTAGTTACAATAACCATAGCAACAACCACTTATCCTGAAAAAAGAAAACTGGTGAATTTCAAAAATGGAGTAATTTTTTCCTTTTTCACGTTGTCTCTACCGGAGATGTTTGTCCAAAATGTAATTGTTGTTTACGGAAATTTTTAATCACTCGGTACGATTACAGACCGAATTGGATTCCCCTCGACCCTATTATGATAATCAATAATAAAGTTGCAATTTATTCGATTGTAATTGGTTTAAAAAACTCCCATTATCCACTACTTCACTTGCCAAGTTTTCATCGGACAGTTTGTTATCCAAAAAGTTTGTTATCGAACAGTTCGATAAGTTAATCACATTCAAAGCGGCAGTTTAAATCAACCAATCAAACAATTTACGTCTCCTTTCTAAGTCTTTTAATGCAATTTTTCTTTTTTTTCTTTCGTAACCTGGCTGTTTTTCTTTTCTGAGAAATTGTAATTTTCATGATTAATTGGTAAGAAGACTTTGTCCAATTCAGTCTGAAATCGTACACGTGACAAACAAATCGGACTTCTGCTGCGCGGTCGTCCGACTTTTTCAGCACTCCTGTGATTACAGACTCCACTCAGTCTTATTACAATTACATACATGATCATAGTGAATTCAAGGAAGTTGCTTTGTTGTTGCTGCTGATGAGAAACCGGGTTTTTACAAGTAATGAGCTCATTTATCTGACGAATGTCCCAACAAATATTTTCATGGCAGATGAGGATCATTGATAAGATGTGAGGCCACAAAGGTTTGACAGGGTCGCTTTGTAACAGATCCATTTCTCTTCGGTGGCGAACTTTGCACAACGTTACGCTTCTTAACAGTCACAGAATAAAGACTGAACGAGAAAATAGGGCTGATTCGTTGGAGGCTTTGCCATTCATTAAAACTTTACTCATGCAAAATTCATCTAATTAACAATT